CCGTGGTCAACTACATGGGAGTCCAGCGACATAGCCATTACGCTAACTGCTGGTCCCAAGGCTCAAGGATATTCAGTGGAAAGGATACTCTTTTCAACAAAAGGCACTGGAACAACAAAAGCCATGTTCAACAACTTCAGAGTTCTGGAAGGATATTTACTGAAAATTAAAAAAAAAAAAATTTAAATATTTTTATCTTTTGGAGAGGTTTTTGCTATAGGGCGCATGCGCTCGCCAGAAAGACAGAGAGCGGCAGAGAGACAGAAAGCGAGTAATCACCTTCCAGAAATCACCTCCCAGGGGGGATGGCCACTGGGTCTGGGACTCGAACCACGGTCAACTACATGGGAGTTCAGCGACATAGCCATTACGCTAACTGCTGGTCCCTCAAAATTTAAAAAAAATTTTAGGTTTTTGCCATAGGGCTCCTGCACTCACCAGAAAGACAGTGAGGGGTAAAATCAGAAATCACCCCCTAAGGGAGATGGCCATGCCCCAATCCTGTCTCTTCCATTCTCCTGCTGAGATTTTGGACATGCACACACATGCACCAAATGTGAGGTCTGGATCTAAGAACCATGATCGACCATGTAGGAGTCCAATGCCTTAACCACCATGCCACCTGCTGGCCCCATTTCTGAACTAATAAGAGTGGTTATCTCCAGAAGGTGAGTTATGAGAAATGGTCAGACTAAAAGTTTTATATGGGGGCTGGCAGGTGACATCTTGGTTAAGGCACTGGACTCCCACATGGCTGACAGGTTCGAGCCTAGACCTGGTGGCTTGCTCTCTCACCTTCCTTTCTCTCTCTCTCTCTGTCTGTCTCTCTCTGGTCAAGTTGAAGAATAATAATAAATAAAAATAAAAAATAAAAGTTTTATATGTTTGATCATTTAGTTAAGCTAGTATCTATCCGGGGACCAGCAGATGGCAAAATGGTTATGTTGCTGAACTTCCATGTAGTCGACTGAGGTTCAAGTTCTGGACCTGGTGGCTTAAAAACTCATGCTGGGCATGTGTGTGCATGTGCCCAAAATCCCTAAAGGAGAATGGAGGAGAAG